CTTGTTCTTTGTTTCTGTTCTTGCTCATGGTGGTGGAGGCGGTGGTGGTGGTGGTCGTGGTGGTCGTGGTGGTGGTGGTGGTGGTGGTGGTGGTGGTGGTGGTCGTCGTGGTGGTGGTGGTGGTGCTGGTGGTGGTGCTGGTGCTGGTGCTGGTGCTGGTGCCGGTTCCGGTGCTGGTGCTGCTGCTGTTGCTGGTGCTGCTGCTGTTGCTGCTGGTGCTGCTGCTGGTGTTGCTGCTGCTTCCGGTGCTGGTACTGGTGCGGTGCTGCTGGTGCTCCTGCTGCTTCCGGTGCTGGTGCTGGTGCGGTGCTGCTGGTGCTGGTGTTGGTGCCGTGGCTGCAGAGGTGCCGGTGGTGCTGCTGGTGGTATTGCTGGTGGTGGTGCTGCTGCTGGTGCTGGTGCTGGTGATGGTGGTGGTGCTGTTGCCGTCATCGCATGTCAGCCGGATGAAGGTGCTGGGGTTATCGTCGTTTGCCTGTCCAAGGTAGAGTGACGCGCACCGCACAGAAATCAAACTGCTAATTACAGAAATCTCAAGCCCAGAGCAAGGTCCAAAGAATTCCAAAGATGTACCCATCGCTGTACCACACCAGCGAGACCGTGAGAATGTCGTTTCGAGGATGCCAGCTCTATGTGTGAGGTGGTGTGTTTGTCGGGGTGGTGACGGTTGTGTTGCTGCTGCTACCTTGTTTGCTTTTGGTTAATGTTGGCCCACGGTGTCGGAGCCCCTAGTCAGTAGTAGTATTCGATAGGGCGAGACAGGCACAACGCGGGTGCCACCACTGCGGAACACCGATAAGGTCAGCTCTTTGATCAGAAAAAGTACAAATGCACACCGGGTCCGTCAACATACGGAGTGCTGCAAATCAAAACCATGTCTCGGTCGGTGTGGAGCTCGTGTCGCAAAAAGTCCGCGTTTTCGGCGTGGCCCTGAGCAAGATTCTGAAGCTCTCAGTGCAGGCAGTTCTGTATGCATGTGGGCCTCGGAGTAACTCTAAAACCCCGGCACAGGCGCGACCCTCAAACACACGCGTAGACACACACACACACACAGCCACCCACCCAGCCAGGTCCAACGATGTTGCATCTCCTCTTCTTATCCTTATTATCATGCTTCGTCGTCTTTTCTTCTTTTTCTGCTTCTTCTTCTTCTTCTTGTCTTATTCCTGCTCTTTTGCCGGTCGGGATTGCGCAGCACTACTCCTCCCGTCCGCACATGCATGGCTTTGCTCGAGCCTTTGGTCGTCCTCTCTTGGGTTTGCTACTTGTAATCATAAACGGCGTATGTCGTTTGGAGTGGTCCGATGCTTGTCGCGCCGACAAGCGGTCACTCAACTCGCTCAGGACCATGGTACCCCTCAGAATTGGCCTCTGGGCGGTGTGACGCTTGCTGACCAACCTTGCATCCGTGGAAGTCGACAACGGCAACAAAAAGTCCGGAGCGAAAGCAGAAAGCGGCATCGCCTTCGTTCATGTGCAGATAGCTGATAACCTGGTACCGAGCATGTGCAGTAGAGAATCTCACCGCAGTGTCTCCCAGCTTCTGGAGCGGACCCAAATGAACTCGAAGCCGGAAAGCTCGCGTAGGGCCATTCGAAGTTTCTCCTTCTAGTCTCTGGGAGAGATTTACAAATTGCAAAAGCCGCGGAAAAGCTCTCCTCCGGATTTTGATCGCTGGGAACAAGCTCAAGAAAGCCAGCACCAGCTTCTCCACCTAAAACCTCAAGCTTCGATCTGAGAGGTCACGCAGATGACTCTGGCATTGCGGGTCCCTCACTCCTTCTGTGACCGTCGGCTGTCGTGGACATCCGAAGCGCTCCTCATTCGGCGCAGACTTTTGTCGGATGTGTGAGCTTGACTGCATGCGAACCTTGTACGGAGATCGGACGACTGCCAGAGTTTGCATTGAGACCTAAACGTCTCTGCAGTACCGAGTTGATTCTAAGCACAGCGACTTAACACAGTTGACGCCTCCATAGGCGTGGGGAATGCATCCGTGTGGACCTGAAGACGAATGCCCAACGACTTGGAGGTCATGTTATTGTTGTACCCCCAGCCTGGGGAGGTCTGGAAGCACGCTTCGGCGCAGGAACTTCTCCTGACCGTTGGCAAAAGATCTTTTCTGCACATCAGATCGTCAGAGCACTTTGACAATCATCTGTTATCCTAGCAGCTCTGGGTGGGCAGCACAACCTGAATCAGCGTCACAATGGGCCTCTTCTGCTTGTAAAGCATCGCACCAAACCTCGGTCGAAGACTGCGTCTGACACAAAGCACAAGATGCTCTTGTGTACCGGCAATGCCGTACTCGTGTATAAACGACCCAGAAAGCTTTGTGCAGCTAATTCTGGTCAGTCAAACTCAAAGGTGGCTAGGACCACCAGAGCGTTCGGAGAAACCCTCGTGATCTCTCCTTATTGCGAGCTGTCTCGCCTTGCAGGCAAGTGCAGACTGTCATGTTTGTTTTTCCAGACCGAGACCAGACAAGAGGTCAAGCCAGCGCTGGCTCTGCCCCCGATGCGCCGATGGCTAGAAACTAATCTTCTGGCTCGGTGAACTGTATACCACCAATTCCTTAGACTGAAACGGCGCAGCACACACCCGCTTCGCAAGGATCAGAGTACACACAGCTTCGCAAGAATGAAACACATCTCGCCGCAAGTCAAACAACAAACTCCAGTCCTCATGCCATGAGTCGGGTGTTGACTATGCCTTTCTGGGATTTCTGCTTCTCGCCTGCGATCTTTGTCCATTTCTTGCCATCTTGAAAGACGATGGCACTTCCGTCCCACTTGCCGACCTTGGAGGATACTTGCGATGCTTGCACACGTTCTTGGCTGCCTTGGCAGCTCTGTCTCAGAATGTCAACGTCAATGATCTTACATATCACTTTTCCATCGCATAGCATCTCTCAGGACCCGGCCACCTTGCTGGGCCCACCCCTCGGAGAGAAGTCGACGGTGATTTGGTCACCCTCAACTTTGCCTTTTGTTCGGACTGTTTCAGTAGGAAACGGCAGCTTGCAATCCAGTTGTCCTTCAGCGGGCGCCTGGAAGCAGGAACTTGTCCAGGTTCTTGTTCTGCTTGCACGTTCTGCCCCTCTCAGGATCCTGGCATTGGATTGAAACTGAACCAGACATAGCAGACTTGTGCCCCCGAATGGAAGCTTGCAGCCACAACACAAACGACAAACCATGCTTTGAATGCTTTGTGCTTTCTGCAGTGGTCCTTGAGGTTAAACTGGATGTTGCCCGAGCCCAGATCCAAGAGTCTCCTTTTGCAACCGGGATACTCAGGATCCTGAGCATCAACCCCAAGAGACGACTGTCACCAACTGGGCATTTTGCTGTTCTTGCTGACAAGTGTCGTCATAAGCCCCAGCCCATGCAACTTCTGCACTGGCCGGTTGTGGATGTCCTGAAATGCGTGCAGAGTTGGGAGAACCGGCTGAACCTCAAAACCGCTCCGGCACTTAAGGAGCTTCTGTTCTCGCACTCGCGCAGCGTCCTGATCGTGAAAAGGGAAGCTAGGACAGCGCCCCATCACAGCATTGCTTCTTGTGCTTGCAGCAGAGCTCTCGGACAAACTACTTCTTCCCTGATACGTGCTGCAAATGCCGCCTGCACTCAAACATCACTTTCTGTGGCTTACAAGACTCTGTGGCCAAGTGTCCCAAATAAAGAGGCGCCGTTGCAAGGCCCAGAGCAAGCTGCCGTCGGCCAACACCTTCTGGCAGCTTCCCTGTACAAACGACTCTAGGTCGGGCGCATGCCAGATGCGACAGGCCTGTCCCCAACGCCTGCAGAAATGTTGTAGCTCCCAGTACCCTTGGCTGTAGCTGTGTGCGCGTGTTCAAGGCTGTCGCAAAAACATCGCCCGTGGAAGCCTGACTGCAGCCAAGGGGCGTGGAAAGCACCGCAAGAAGAGCAACGAATCCACGAAGTACACATCCTGCAAGCAGCCTACGAAACCGAGTGCTTAAACACAAGCACCGAAGATCCGGACTCTCCTTGTGGCCTCTCGGCCCGTTTGCCAGTGCGCAGCACCATGGCTGGAAAATCTCGAGCCCTGATAAACGGCTGAAGAAGGCTGAGCTTGCAGATCCAACAAATATCAAAGGCACAAAAGCAGTCAACTTCTTACCAAAGGCTACACCCTGCGAGCACCACTCTCATCTCACATTTCTGCGCGTCTGACCCACGTTGACCAGGGAGCTCTTTCTGGATCTTCTTCGCCCCGAGGGCATGCTTCTTCTTGCCAGTAGGCTCAGGAAGCTCATGTGCAAAGAGAGTATCGTGATGACATTGGCGACCTAAGGCGTCCATGAGGAGACTCAGCGCCTTGTGTAAAGCCGCTGGCAGGCCATCTGTCGGCTGCCCAGGGGTCTCCATGTTTTCTAGCAGAAGTGCAGCGGCCTCTATTGTTGATATTCGCCCCTCCTGAGACTGCCGCCTCCAATGGAAATTGGACTTGCCACTTGGTAGAAGCTTCACGTGCTTCAACGACTGGAAACGTTTGTGCATTCTCTGTGCTTGGTTCCAAGTGCCATCGATGAGGATTGCAACTGGTGGCGGCTCTGCCTGCAACGATGAGCATGCTGCAGCTACTGGAGATGGGAGGCTCACTGCCTCACTCACGAGCTGCGCATCCTCCGACGGGTAGACCACGAAGGCATCATGCTCCAGTAACTCTGCCAAGCGAGCCTCATCCCTCGAAACGCCTTGTACCAAAATGTCAGTAGACTCGGGAAGCAGCAAATGAAGAATCTTGCCTGTGTTTGAGGCTCGCCGGCGCTCTTTGTGGTGAATCCACACCACGAAATGTAGGCGTGAACGCGTGCCGTGCTCCAGCATGTCCTGCCTGATGGTTTGCATAGCTGTGCAAATGCAGAAATCCAACTGCATCATGCAGTTTGAACATTTTCCTTCGGCCTGCATCTCCACATCCAGAGATGCCGCGCGAAGCTCAGCGAGTGCTTCAGCACGCCGTTCAGGTGGCAACTGTAGCACCGACTCCAATGTGCAGTTGCGGCGACGGCCATGGGATTCCAGAGTGTAGCATCTCAAGGCCGAAGCCTCCTCAAAGATCGGATTTAAATCTGGCACAGTCTGCTTTCGCTGCCTGCGCCAGCGACAACAAACTTTGCTCTCCCCTTCAACCATCGAGGCTCGACTGAAATTGCTACGAGAGTAGACGCTACGTACTGAGAACCAGATGACCTGTGGCAACGAGACTTGCTATTGCTAGATTCGATTTCGTGAAGTGGAGGTGAAGATGGGCAGCGGATAATGCATGTCCAAGTTGGCAAACATGACTCTCCACGTGCATGGGGGTTGCAAGAAAGACAGGCCAGGCGTGAAGACATAGATCGAAACTACCGAAGCGTGCCTGTCAAGATGGCTTTGCCTCCCTCCCACCTCCGCCCAAGAACGCCTTCACGGCTGTGGCCGTCCCAGTGTAAAGGCACCGGCTTCCAGCCGCAGGCTCTTTGACTGTGGAAGCAAAGGACAAGGCGGTTCGATGTCTCTGGCATTCTGTGGACTAGCAGAAGAAGCTCCGCTTGTTTTCTGTTCCAACGTCGATAAGCCCGACCAAAGCTTGGACTAGTGTTCTGATTCTTGCTCTCGACAGGCAAGCATGCTCACATTTTTGAGGTGCGGGGAATTATGGGAACGGGAAAATGTGGAAATGTCGTGCGTGTGTGCTCGCTGTCCACCCAATAAAGCTTGTCAAGCTAAGATGAGGCGGCCACTTCTTGAAGAAAAGCAAACGACGGCCCAGGGCATCTGCCTGCAGTGTTGCTCGCACCATTTGACGACGTGCGGCGACAGACGGCATGCAAGGTCGTGAAAGACTGAGATGCCTGTGCCAGCAGCCTCCTGATCCCCTGATTTTCTCTAGCAGGTTCGGAATGCTCGAAACTCCCACATTGCCGACATGGCTTCAAGCAGTCTGAAGCCTCAGAAGTGACGACTTCCATCGCAAGCTGTGCGAGCGATCCCCATATTTTCGTGCTTGCAGCACCTGCGGCTTTGCATGCAACCGGAATCAAAAAAACTCAAAGTGCCCTACACAGCGTGGGCTGGGGCCGAGGCCGTGTGCAGCGCCCTTGTCGGCCCTGCAGCCACAAGTGCCATCGCGTGACCAGTCTATTCAATTACGACCATTCGCCAGACTGGAGACTGAATTGAAACACCTGCGCCAACGGATACCTTGATCTCCCATGATGTCCCTGAAAGCGAAGCCAGGAGCCAGGGCTGCGGAGATGTTCAAGAGCAGCCATGCCGAGTCTGCAGCCCAGTTCATGCCCGCTGTGGCGGAAAATCCCGAGTCTGGTTTTTCCTGCAACCCCGTTCGCGCAGATCGCACCCCTACACAGAGCTCCCCTGGTTGATGGAAACCTGAACCACGAGTAATTAGAAGTACAGCAGCGTGGGACTACAGGCATGCCGTCAACAGCAACCCTGCAGCGGAGCTCTTGCCCCCGAATTTGTCCAGCATCCAATCTGATTGGGCTCGGACAGCTCTAAAATTACACACCAGCCGACTTCACGAAGCTTGATCCTCTTCGAACTACTCCATGGGCGATGAGTGTCGGAATAGAGCTTCTGGCATGTCTTATCTATTCAAGTCGGAGCTGAGCTGCTCAGGCGACCTCTGCGGTTGGTGCTGTCTTGTGGCGGTTCATAGCGGCATTGCCATGATATGCTACAGGCTCCTTGACATCACTGCGCACCCGCGGCGGTGGGGTGAAGGCCTTTCAGCTCAGAAGTACCACATTCTTGCAGCCTCATGGAGAAAGGTCCGGGCAGGCGAGGCCGACTTGCGGCTGTCTGGAGTTTGTGGAACACCCTGAAGTTGCGCGGGAACCTCACAGGCTGGTACATCTGGCACGCAGTCCGAATGCACTGCGTGAAATATCTCCTGGGCTGCTTGCAGGTCGTAGCGGCATCCTTTGAATCATCTGCTCCTGGCATCATGAAAGCAATGATTGCCATGGCCAGCGAGGGTAGCGGTACTGTAAGGGGACACGGCAAGTGTTAAGCACACTTTGTATGGTTCGCTGGCCGAGGTGCTGCTTTAAATTGAATAGTGTACTCAGTGTACTCATGTCATGTTGCCCCGCGATCGGATTTCGGGAGGCCTGCCACTGTCGAAAAGTGAAACTTCGGAAGTGGCCCACGGCATTATCCCTACCTCCCCCCACGACCACAGACGTGAAAAAGAAACACACTGGCCTGTGTGCTACTTCCGCTACTTATGCTGTATAGCTTTTTCACTCGTCTGCGAGTTACAGTCTGCAATCCAGAGCCTCAAGGATGCGATTTTTATATCAACAGGATAAAACGCAGCACTGGAAAAGTGCATAAGCCTTAGCAGACATGCATGAATGTTCACCGTCGCATCGCGACGCTTCACTCAATTGCTTAGGCCAGACTGCAAGCCCCGACGGCGGTGATATATCTTGCAAATCCCCTTCACATTCCAGCCGGAGGCTGCCACCACTCATTTTATGTAGAAACACCGGTCTGGTCCGGGGGAAAATCCTGGGGGATCTGCAGCAAAAATACGGCTCTATAGTGGGCGGCCCCGAGGAACTTTTTGGAGGCTTCAGCATTTCGTCACATCTGAAAAGCCTCCGGGACTTGTATGCTTGTCCCGGTTGTTGGGGCACAAGATCGCCCTCGCGGAGCGGAGGGGCTACCGGGGACGTGGCATGTTAATCTCAGGCTTGGCAGTTGCTTTCCGCAGAGCCGTGTGACTGAAGTGTTGTGGTTGGGGAGTTGGGCCAGGCTCTCAGGTTTAGGGTTTTAAGCCACCGCCCGAGGTTTAGGGGTTCGGGTTTTCAGCTTAAGGCTTAGGCACCACCCTCGCAGGTCATATTCACATCTGTTGCCGATCCAAGCTCTGAGGATTTATCAGGGTTGATCCTAAAACCCGAAACCCCAGGCCCTAAGCCACAAAACCCGAAGCCCCAAGCCCCAAAACCTTTGACCCAAAAACCCTTAAACTCTAGTGCGTTGCACCAAAACAAGGCGCGCCGCGCGCCTTGGAAAACCGCCAGATGAAAAGCACCTCACGCAGTGTATGTTACGGGCGTTGGGCAGGCTTTCGAATCGACGCAAACATTCAGCAGGATCTTGCAGGAGCATTGCCTCGCAAGCAGACCATCTTGCTAAGCAAGAAGTCCAATCAACGTGTGCCACTGGGTTCTTGCACAGCTGAAGACAAAAAAGCTTTCAATGAGGCTTCGGCCGTGTCCGATGCTGCAATCAAGCTGTCACTCGCTGCATCAAAGAGTAAGCAGGAGATGGTCGCCTACACCACCAGCGGGTCACAAGCAGCCGGGTGTGTGCAAATCTTTGGCAGTGGCCCATCCGAAACCCGCAAACTCCATCCATCCAAAAGCAGGGCCCCTGTGAGAGTGGATTAGGGCAGCTCTCTACACTAGGGTCCCCTTTTGGGCAAAATAGTACGGCAAGCAAATTGCATGACAAATCGTCGGCCGGGCCCCTGGTCCCTCGAACCGTTCTGGCACCACAGAGGGCGGCTCTACACACCTTAGAACGGACAGATTAACTGACTCATCTGGCGGACCGTGCGCTCATCTGGGGCGGCAGCGGGAAGGGGAAGATCTCAAGACTGCAGTCATCGGTCACGGCGACAGATTGCCTCGAACACTGTCATGTGACTTCATTCCTAAGCGACTTGCATCCAGCCTGCCGACAATCTCATGGAAACGGCGCTCCCTGAGACTCACCTGCATCATGCAGCTTATGCCCCGGCAACAGTCGCAGCAGGCAAGCGGCCTTCATCTGCTCGCGATTCGCCCAACAACCCTGAATCTGCCAGCCGACTGGTGCGGTCCATGGACAGAAGGGAACCTCTCGCACCAGGGCAAGAGTCGGTAATCGCCGGGCCATTGGAACATCAAACGCGAGCTGCTTCCCGGAGAGGTCAGCACTCAGCAGATAATTGCAGGGCAGCGTGTCTGCAAAGCAGATGTCGAATATTGGTGCTTCATGTCCACGCAAAGTGGCAACTTTGGAGACTATCTCCTCCCCAGTGTGAACTCCCGTGTATGCAGAAGCTCTGCACGTGGCCTCTTTGAACCGGAATGTGTGAATGCAACCGTCTTCTGTACCAACTGCTAGCCACAGCGGATGAGCCCCGGACATATCCACAGATGAGAACCTTGCACAGGTCAGTTTGGCCTTCTTAGCTGAAAGCGTCCTTCGAAGGACATAATGTCTCGTCTTCTCGCTCATGATGGAGATGGTCGCATCACTGCATCCGACAGCCATCCAGGCAGAAGACTCTTCACCAGCAGAGATGCCAGAAATTGCCAAACATGTAACACCAGCAGATGCTCTCAAGCTGCGACCTTCGATGCACTTCAGGTCAGAGCCGTCGTAGCAGCGAACAACCCCGTCCATAGCGCCAGTGTATATGCAGTTCTCAGCGGGATGAGCAGCAACTGTTGTCAATTGCGAGCTTGGCTGAGATGCAAGCACCTGGCAACAGCGGTTGCCCTTGGTACCATTTGCAAGGTCAAGGCAGACAAGATGCGTTCTTGATGACAGTAGAAGCTTGTCATGTTTCCAACTTGCTCCCGACACGAGTGGTGTCCGAAACCGAGATTCAGGCCAGCAGTCTAGCGTGGAAAAATCTTGTTCGACGGTTTGGCCCGAGCTCAAGATCGTGCAGATTCCGTTTGCATGGACTGCAGCAAGCGATTCCCTAAGTGGCTGGATGCAAGCAATGGGAGATGGCTGGAAAGCCATCTTTCTGACAGCCCGACTGCCGTGGAAGAAGAAGATTTCGCCAGCACTGCCTCCAGCTACGGCTCGGTCCCGTGCTACCCAGCATGCGCAAAGAACCATCTTTGGTGCCCCAACGCAGCCGCAGCCGAAAGCTCCCCGGCGCCCGTCAATTGCAGCACTGAGACGCGCAGAGCGAGCTGACTGCCAGAACTTGATGTGCTGCGCGCCGTAGGTTGCAAACAGAAGCGGCAGCTCGCTGCTTCCGGGGGCACCAGTCACACCAGAAACAGCGCCGCCCTTGAAGGCCGAACAAACCACCAGCGGAGCCCCATCCTTGCGGCCCATGCGGAACACTCCCGCACGTGCAGCCGGCCAAAGTGCCATCGTCCGGTCGCGGTCCGATCCGATGGTTACAAGCACCTCGCCGTCTTGAATGAAACCGATGGCCTCCACATCATTCTGGTGGAATGAGAAGGTTGCACAGACGTCGAAAGTTTCCGAATCCCAGAGCAAGACTTCTGCCCACTTTGTGCTTGCGGTGTGCTTCTGGCCGGATGCACCTAACCGCTGTTGAAACGAATGGGCCAGGCAGGTCACTGCAGAGCCGTGCTGAATGAATCGCTGCTGTTGCGTCTGCAGTGAGATCTCCACCACTAGCCTGCCTGCAGCTACGGCACATCGGTCCTCCGACAAGAAAGCCAGGCAGCTCGCCTGAAAGCCTAGGACCTGAGACAGCTGGAATGTCTCCATGAGCTCCAGCAGTGCGGCTCGCGCCCTGCTGGGCGTATTGAAGTCTACGGCCTTTGTGCTGGTGCGGTGCTATTTGCAGCGGCAATTGCATGATCTCCACACTAGTGACTAGTAGCACTCGCTGGGCCAGTTATGATGCTGATGCATCCTGCTTCCTGTATAGCCTCATGAATCATGGGCCCATTGCCTTGAGTAGGCACAGCAGGCGCGTGGGACACTTTCTTTGCGAGCCGGGAGGGGTGAAGGATCAACAAATCAAATTTGGATCCACAAACCAGAGACCGAGAGATCAAGAATACCAAATGTATATTCTCAAGAGTTCCGCCAGGGGGCAGTCTTAAGAATGCCTTTGGTTGGCTTAGACTGGCATTTCTCGGCTTGGCAAGTCATGTCAGTATGGATGCAAAAGTAGATCCAAATCAACAGACGTCTTCGCGATGATAGCCGGCGGCATAGGGCCTCCTGAAAAGTTTCGGGAACCTCCTGACAAGGTCCAACGGTTCGGCTTGAACTGGCATTTTGCGGCGAAGGCTGATTGCTTTGGTTTAAAGACGCCTGCAGATTTCAACTAGATAAGATTACCGGCGGCAGCAGTGTTAGTCGTAGCAGTGGGAGTCGGTGTAGGCGTAGTAGGAGTGGCGTAGGTGTCGGGGTGGGAGTGGGAGCGGGAGTAGGAGCAGGAGGAGTAGGAGTAGGAGTAGGTAGTAGTAAGTAGCAGTAAGTAGTAGAAAGTAGTAGTAAGTAGTAGTAAGTAGTAAAAACTAGGAGTAAGTGTAGCAATCTTGGTCTCGCCGACTAGTTTACCTTTTGGAGCAAGATTGCGATCAAGATTGCCAGGCAATCTTGCAATCTTGGTCTCCAAAAGATAAACTAGTCGGCGAGCAAGGGGAGCAAGTGGGGGCGGGGGGGGGCGGCAAGATTGCAAGCAATCTTGCAATCTTGGTCTCCAAAGGCAAACTATATAGTCGGCGAGCAAACGGGGCAGGGGCAAGATGACCAAGATTGCTTGGCAATCTTGCCCCCCACCCCCACCTCCGCCCGAGCAAGATTGCAAAACCGTCAAGACTTTGGAAAAAATAGAAATTCTAGTTTGCAGGCACAACGCACTAGTACTAATAGTACTAGTACAACACGACCAAAGCTCTATCTGCCTGTCTCGCTCTCCCTCTCTGTTTTTCAGGGATCCCAACACACGGATCTTCCAAGGACGTTCCGACCCCGTACCCGGATACACGATTCTTGTCAGTAATTAAACTAAAAGAATAACTTAAAAAAAAAATATATATATATATATAATATATGATTATCTTATACCTCGAGATGCGGTTTGTGCATCTAGACCACTCCTGGATCTAAGTCTTTTTTTGCGGGATGTCGATGGCCAAGCCAAAGTCCGAACACAGAGTTCTGCTGCTACTACTACTACTACTACTACTGCTACTACTACTACTGCTGCTACGAGTACGAGCACGAGCACGAGCACGCGTAGCCTGCGCGTTGTGGCACGGGTAGTGGCACGAGTAATTGCACCAGTAGCATTACGAGTAGTAGGAGTAGTATCGTTCTCTGTATCATTCCTCCTTCCTTGTCTTCCCTTCGGCCTCACCTCCCTCCTTCATTTCTTCCTCTCTTCTTGCTTGCTTGTTTCCTTCCGATCTTCCTTCCCTCCTTGCCCTCGTCGTCCCTTAACAGTACTGCAAATTGTTGTTCTGCTTATTTAGAGCTTGTGACTTTGTTCGATGCAGATCTGAACTTGTTCGCTCAGATTTGATCTGATTCGACTCTGCACAACTTTGCAACTGTGTATCAGCTTTTTGCCGAATGTCGGACTGAATTGCAACAACTGGGGCACACACACACAGAAACAATCGAATTGAGCCATGTCCGTCTCACTTCCCCAGCCGAGGCTTCCACATGCAGGATTGGAACTCATCTCCCGTCCCCTCGCTCCGTGTGCACATGTGTGCGTATGCGTGTGCGTGTGCATATCATATGCGTGCATGTGCAGTAGACTTTGCGTGCACATCCCCGGCACGGATGTTCGCGAAACTCACTGACCAGCACTCATGCATCTGTGAACAGGAAACGCGCAACGAGAGAGCCGGAGAGACAGAACTTGATACAACTTTTCAACCCCCGACGTACGACAGCCGTCGAACGGCATCGTCATCGTCGAAGTCAGTCGAGCAAGCGAGCGGCAACCATTCTCGGGAACCGACCACAAGCCAAGTCTCGAATAAGGCTTTCCATTCCAGAACGACCTAACCGATGACAAATAAGTTGTTTTTGCGTGTAATTTTGCATGTGGGTGGGGCGTTGGCTTGTGAGCGCGTGCGGGCGCGTGGGCGTGTATATCCCTGCTGTTGTTTTTTCTTGTAGTATTTTTTTTTGCTTTTTTCTTGTATACATACGAATAAAGAGAGTTTGAATCTTTCCCAGTGAGTAACCCCCCCTTGTCACCGCAACCCAACCGTTTGAAGTTTCGGGGGTCGGGGCTCAGACGTGTCTCATCAATTCTACGTGTGTGTGTGTGTGTGACAAAGAACTCTATGTTGAATGGTCGTTTGCCTCCGGCGTCCCTCGGTCTCAAAACTCATGTTGTTTCCGATGCCGGGTGCCGGTCATCTTATGGATGAAACGGACTGCGAAGCCGCGACGGTTGGGGTTTGCGAATATCTGCCCAAGCGTGCATGCCCAAGCGTGCAAGCCCAGCACGCTGAAAAGCCTAACGCTATGAAAAAATCCTGCAAACCTGTAAAGCTATAAGAAATAGTGGCTCCTTGCGAAGGTCTCACGAGGTTTGTGCTGTCAGCTTAGCGAACCTGCCATCTTCAAAGAGTGCGCTTGTACAAGTGACGAACAAAAGCTAATCAGGAAAGCAGCCATCTGACTTGCATGAGCCGACTGACTTGCATGTGCAGCTGGCAATTGATTTTGCCCAAGCAGTAAATTGTCTGAAACTGGTGTGACCTTACTACTACCACAGGGCGGAGATGACACTTTCCACAAAGCGACGTTGCTCTCGATCACGCTCTGCTATTTCATGAGACAAGGCGTCCCAGGACTCCTGCCAACCATCCAGCCAAGAGCCTGTTAGCTCGTAGGTGTACTCAAAGCCGATGCCCCAATCTCCCCAAAGTCCAAACCGCCGCACCACGGGACCACGAAGCCAGCCCTGATCGGCGAGCAGCTGCTCAGCAGACTTCGGCGGGCCACGCGCTCTCCTCACTGCTAGCCGCTGCTTGGGCGTCATCGGCCTTCCCAAGTCGTCATTGTGCAGACCAGAGCGGAATTTTCGCTGAAGCACATCAGGCCTGCAAAAGTGCAAGCTGCTTCTGATGTCTACGGATGTCTGGACGGTATTTTGCCGCCTGTGCAACTTCACAAGCTCTTTGAAAGCAGTCGATTCGGCTGCTTGCCCGCAAGTCGCACGAGCTGCAACAAAGTCCTTGACCTGAATGGCAACCACGGTTGAGTTGTTCCTTCAAGGATGGGCATGTCATCTTTCAAGCTCTCAGCAAAGCCACGGGGAGAAATGGAGACATTTCTTTCATTAACCTTGGCTGAAAAGCTGGCGGAAGCTGACAAGCTTAGCACATGGCAAGCAGCATCCCACTGTCCCCACCCCTCCTCCCAAACCCACAAAACAACAAAATCATCAAAAAGACGCTGCTGAGACACAGCGGGCTAAATCTGGGCCATCTAGCACGCACATGGTCTGCCTGCAAGCACACGCTGTCAGCTCAAACAGAAAAACTCACCATAAGGCCTCGGGGAAACTTGCGCCAATCACCTCAAAAGCTCTGGCACTCACGGTCGGCATGGACTCACGTGTCTGTCTACAGGCTGGGTTCGTGGCGATTTCTGACTCTGATTCATGCCCAGGCGGGTGGCCTTTCCATAAGCCAACGAAAAAATCAACACTGTTGGCTGCTTCTCAAGACCAGCACTTGTGTTGTGAAACTCGCACCTTCTGGGTTGCACAGCCCGCACAAACCTCAAAGCATACCAAGCACGACTGCAGCAAACCCACCAGCACGAGTCTTTATAGCATGTCGCCATGAGCAACTTGCAAACCAGCCGCCGACACATTGCCACCATTGCCACAAAAGCGACATTCGTGGGATCTCAACAAGTTACCACTCCACCTGTTTTCAAGGTGTTACACCTTTTTTGACACGAAGGGCAGTCCATGACCTGCCAGTTTTCCCAATAACAGGTTGTGGGTGAAGTGCTCATTGCCATACTGCATCTGTCTCGCTACACACATCTGGTCTTGAAGCGGCTATGGCTTGAGATCTTCATGCAGCATGCACATGGAAGGCTGCTGTTACACTGCCTACAACTCGGAACTACTGGGAACTAATTCCAAGTCTCTGCAGCCTCCCGTTTAAAGGATTTCAAGATCAAGAAATGTCCCGGCGTATTTTGGCGGAGGGTAGGCTTGAGAAGGCTTTCAACACATCAAGCCACAGACTGCATGATTCAGCAAGCAGCAGGCTAGACGCTACTACCAGTTTTTTTTGTGACTTCGCATGCACAACATCGGCTTTGGCTCTACCACATGCCCGCTGGGGCAACACCTACGATTGGACGTAGCTGCGGAGTAGTGCACAGTACACACAAATGTCAACGTCTTAGTAGTTAAGCAGCTTCTCCCGGTCTGCACTTCCCATGGAACGCCACCTGTCCAAACTCCCACCATGTCGTTGCATGGTCTCAAGATAGGCGTCAACGGCCAGGAAGATCCATGCCGAGATTCCCATCGTCATTATTGCTATCCTCTGGCTCATGCGAGGAAGTCCTAGCAACACATCAGTGGAACGTGCATATTGAACTTTGCCATTCACAAGGTCCTGCAGCACCATCTGCATAGGGGGCAATGGCAAAGAACCTTCGACATTCGTAGCGTTGCACAAACAAGACAGTCTCTACACCCATGCTCCCGGAGAGTGCCTCTTGCAACGACTGGTTCCCGGAGTACGGAGCGCAAAACAGGATGTCTTCTGGCACCTCAAGCATGTGGATGGGTCAGGCACAAACATGGAAAGCAGTAGGCATCAGTCTACACAGGAGTACAGAAACTGAGCCAAGAGGCAACGCTAATAATCAGAAGCCACAGAAGATGAACGATCAGCCGGAACGGACAACAGATGCACTCAACAAAACTCGACGTCCAGCTCCGGCAGCAGGACTCCTGCACCACTCGACACAGTGAACAAACACCATGGGAAGCCCCAACTCGAGTCGCACTCCAGGGGGAGAAGCGAGGCTCACGACCGAGGCGAAAAGGCTCCTGCACTGCTCTCTGAAGCCATGGCGGCACGGGCTGCAAGAACAAAGATTGGCGAGCCAAAACAAACGACGCTGCGCGATACACATATATGGTCAGGCGTCTTGTGAGCGGTGATCTATATTCCTTCTCACGAAGCATGACGCAATGCGATGCTCCGTGGCCTGGCATGCCTGGCCGCAGTCGTAGACGTTCAGAAAGACCGGCGTCTGTGTTGCCGGCGGGCATGGGAACTTTTCGCGCAAACGACTCCATACGACGCCTTCAGCTGCACACTGCTGTCCAAGTTCGGCATGGTCCAACGTTTGCGGCTTGACACCTGGGGCCGTAGGGTTTCATCCAGGCAGAACAAACCCTTGTTTTCCAAACTGATCAGCGTTGCAATGCATATATCATTGCGTGCGTGTGCTCTTGACTTTGCGTGCACATCCCCGGCACGGATGTTCGCGAAGCTCACTGACCAGCACTCATGCCTCTGTGAACAGGAAACGCGCAACGAGAGAGCCGGAGAGACAGAACTTGATAGAACGCTTCAACCCCCGACGTACGACAGCCCTCGATCGGCATCGTCATCGTCGAGCGGCAACCATTCTCGGGAACCGACCACAAGCCAAGTCTCGAATAAGGCTTTCCATTCCAGAACGACCTAACCGATGACAAATAATTTGTTTTCGCGTGTAATTTTGCATGTGGGTGGGGGCGTTGGCTTGTGAGTTGGCTTGTGAGCGCGTGCGGGCGTGTGGGCGCACTTATCCCTGCTGCTATTTCTTCGTTCATCCTTGTCCACACCTGCCTTCCGGCTTTCACACAATGTCGAGCACCGGACAAAAAGACCCCAATTCCAGGCATGCCTTTCAGCACTTCTGTGAAACACGCCAGCACATCAGCGGGGAGGGACGAAAGAAACGATCCAAACATAACTACTTACCCACGCGTGCCTTCCAACAGATCCGAAGGACGGGGCGAAACAGTATCGAAACGGTCCTGACATTAGGCTTTGTCCACACATGCCTTCCGACATCAAGGGAAGGGACGAAAAGGGTCCCCAAATCAAACGTGCTTTCCGAGACATCGGGGTCAAAAGGAACCCTTGTCCACATCTGTCTGTCTTGGAACACATCGGTGGACGGGACGAAACCGTCCTCGCATTGAGCCGTGTTCACACATGACTTTCAGCACATCTGCTACGAGACAAGACACAACGAGCAGCAAGCCTAGCCTTGTCCACACGATCTTCATCCCAGAGATTTCAAGACGAAGCCTTGTCCACACCTCCCATCCGACATATCTGGGGGAAGCACGAAACAGCAAACAGTCACCTCAGAAAGCCTTGCACACACACACACACACACATCTTCCGTCACAGCTTGAGAGGAGTGGGGGGGGGCGAAACGGTCCCCAAATTGAGCCTTTTCCAGATCTAAGTCTAAGCACCCCAAAGCAGGCATTGTCAACACGCGCACCCTCTTGTCTTGTACGTGATTTGGTTCGCAGAATAGAAACAAAACATGCGCCTCGGACACTTTTTGTTGACTGATCGCCGCCGCAGTGCGGGCTTCCCTATGTCATGACGAAGTCTCCCGCAGCGTCCTGGGTCGTCAGTGAAATTTCCGGTCCTTCAGTGGCTGGAAGGACAATGCCTCAGCTTGTGCACCAAAGTACACACACGAAGATGCCAGCTGAAAGTGTCGCATCATGTCGCACTATGTAGTTCGCACCAGTTTTGACCGTTGCAATTTTCTACTCGGAACCGTACAAGACACTTGCCTCAATCAAAGCTTTTTCCCTTAAGTCAAAGTGCAGCTACTGCTCCTCGGTGTAGCCCAAGCACCCATGCAATGCATGTCGTCGGAGAGAGGGTTCTCCTGCAATCCTTGCAGCTCGCAGTAGCTCGAAAGGTTCAAGAACATTCAAGAAGAACCCTAGCAGCTTCTTACCCAGGAAACGCGAATGAGCCCTAAGCCATGCCAATGAGAGTCAGAGGGGGAATGTGCCAGACCGCGTCGATCGTGTTGGTGTCTTCGACCTACGAACGGCGCTCGCAGTCTCACCTCCGGCTTCGATGGGTCCAGTCCTCTCACTCCCAGCTCCAGCTCGGCCAGCTCGGCCAGCGCCGGCTTTCAAGTCTTTGCCTGCGCAAGCAAGCCGGTTCTGGCCGTGTTACCGCAGGGTTTGAGTGACCCGAAAGCTGATACAAGAAACGTCCACCTCATCCCCAAACTTGACGTAAACCATACTTCCGCAACCGCAATTCTCTGTTAGGGCTCGCGCGTCTCGTAGAGCATGCATTTCATGGTGACGAGACACGAATCCACCGAGGCGAGGCTTCGATGATCCGCATAGTACTCACGAGTCAGACGGACGCGGACGGAGGCTTGGGGATAAAGTTCGCAATTAGTCGAAACAGACCAAAACCTCCGCTCCAGCAACAAGCAAGCACCCACAAGACAGCACTCTGGATACGCTCTCTTGTTATCTCTTGTTTGCTGACGGCACTTCAGGTCGTGCCTGTTGGTAATAGGGCCGATGACACTAGCGAAAAAACCCAGCGCTGCAAAGGGGTACCAGGACCTACTGTACCAGCATCAGCTGCAACACATGCAGAAGGCTGTCAGCCAAGTCAGCTGTGAAGAGAGGCCTGGCAATGACTGCTCCTGGCCCAATTACCAAAAAAACTAAACGTGTAAGAGGCTGTACGCACTAACAAACGTAATCGGATGTGTCCTGGAGACGTGATCGCCAAATGGTGACAACGTTGACCAGCCAGCGCCGTCGAGCCTGGACGAAAGTTGCAATACAGTGGGGGTTCAGAAGCTGACCCCAGTTGCCAAGTTGCTGGCCCTTTCCAAGATCCACGCAGCACAAAAGGCTCTCGGTGCAAGATGTGCTCGCCTGTCCAACACCTGAAATCAGCTGGGCAATCAGTGAGGCTCTTCTCAACTTCTCAACTTTCGTTTATCCGAGAATGGACGGACCCCGATTCGCAGTGATCTGGCCTGGCCGGCTTCCTCACTTAGGACTTAGCCCCTTTTGGGCGTATATGCGGCACGATGTGTGACTCGTGTTGAAACAAAGCACGAAGCCTGTGCTCGCATTTGATGTGCTTACATGTGCTTGCATTACGCTCGCTACTCGCCAATCACCTGGACCTCGAATCAGAGAATGAGTGCATGGGACACGCTAGCGCAGCGCTCGTGAGCCCAGCCTTTGCAGCGACAGCCTGCCCGGCAAAACTCGGCATCTCAACAAACGGATAGCTACTAAGCTTCATAATCTTCATACTAACAGGTGCGGGCAGCCCCTTGAAGCAATAAGGATATCGAAAACATAAGAATGCAAACAATGGGATCCAACTTACAAAGCGGACTACCAACCTGGCCGCGCTGACGCAGTGCTACTGCTGCCGTAGGTTCCCAGTTGCGGTGCTTGATTTTGGAAAGGTGGCTGCGCGTGTTGTTGGTTGTTCCCTCTTTAAGTCTTTATCTGTGAATTGTTTAGCACGTAACGTGCGCTTGTTTATGCTTTTCTGTCATTGACCGACATGTTTAGCAATGTACATCACTCATACTTACAACGAAAGCAGCATAGCAGCCTGGCTGCAAACGAGGCCAGCTATGACACCACAAGCCTGCCGTACATCCACATCACGTCAGTGAATTTCAAAAGCGGAATCATAAACTCCACCTCGGATCTCGGCGTCCCGGGACGAGCGGCTCGGAGTCCAGAATCCAAGCGCGAATACCTGAAGGCGTGAAGTCGGGTTGTGGTCGTCCGTCTCGAGTGTGAACAGCACCAGACCATGGCCTGGGCCTGGCCGGAGCCTGCCTCGATTGCAGCTCTCAAAAGCACCCTTTCTCATCCTTTCTCTGCGTTTCTACACAGCCGCTGAAAAGTGTCTTCTGCTTGTCTTTCTGTGCACCTCTGCGGCAACATCCGTGAAACTGCTAGGCGAACCTGGCACAGCGGATTTCGAAAGAATCGATGCTTTGCGAGTTTTTGCTGGAGAACCTTCCGGCGCACTAGGTTCTGCAGAAGGGCCACGCCAGCCCTTAATGCCTTCCGGGCTAAGTCCAGCAACAACCCGTTTGACTGTCGATAGGAGCACTTGCCCAAGGCCTGGCCACCTGATCGGCTGTCCCAGCTACCTCCAAGCACTGTACTTGCCAAGTACTTGCCATATCGCCAAAGCGGAGGTTGGAAGCAGTGTAAGAGGCCCAAAAGAGCGCCCAATCAAAGGTGTTCATGCTTAACTGCATCCCGGAGCAGCAAGCAGTATGAAACATCCTCACTGCGTCATGTCACCGCCGGAACAACCAGCCTGCGGGTATTTCGAACCCCTGAGTGCCCTCAGAGACAGCACCGAATGCGAGCGAAGACATACGAGAGGCAGAACAGGCTGCCCAAAGTGAAAGCGCGCCACGCCGGCAGTCAAGCAGGCGAAACCATCTTGAGGTGGGAAAATCGACCGAAAGCCAGGCAAAGGCCGCGTGGTGCCGAGGAAAACGAAAACACCACGCGGGGCCGCCGACGAGCACTGCCCAAACGGGCGCAGCCGCGCAGCCTTCGGTCAACATGGGATTTTTGAGAGCCGGAGAGTGACACCTCTCGCGAGACTCGAGTCTATCGCATCCCGTTCGAATCCCGGCTCCGCCGCTCTGCTCTGCTCTGAGGACGCTTTCGCGCTGCGGGCCTGGGGCCTGGAGCTGAGCGCTCCTTGCAAGCTCCTTCTCCATCCTTCTCCTCTCTACAAGCCCGTCTTGCGCCCGTGCGCACAGGCACAGAAGCACAAATGCTCATGCATGATAGCACCTCTAAAAGCGACGAGAGTAGAGCTCTGCATCAAGGTTAAAGAGTCACGGAACTTGCGGCACTTCGCGTGGCTTCAAAATCGGTTTACTAATCGGAATTGTCAGTGCCTTCGCAGAAAGGCACCAGCATGTATCTGAGCCTCTGGCGGAGGAAATGGGAAACCCTATCATCCTGAAAAATCGTCACATTGGCGAACTGCTCTTCATGACAGGGGGAGGGCGGGAAGTCAGGGAAATTGCGCGAAACCTAGTGAAACAAGGTCCAGAAAAAGAGACCTGTTGAAGGATGCCAGCGTGCCGCTCAAGCGGGTCTTCGAGGTGGGGAGAGGGGGAGTCAGCCACAGTTGCTGCATTGCAGGCGAAACTAGGGTGACAGTCGATGTGCTCGCACCAGACGCGGTCGACCGGGACCATGTTTGGGTTTTGTCTCTTCTTCGAAGCCAAGCCGTATCGAACTGACGACTTCGACGGCCTCTATCTAGAGCTGCTAGGATGGTCCTGAGTCCTGTCATGTCCTGTCATCCACAGGAAAAGAAGCACCGACTTCAGAATTCTTGCGGCTAGCCTGCCGCAGACTCTGGAATGGCTTCCTGGCGCATCGACTTTTGACCCGTTGATCCAAAATTGCCGAATCTGCCTGCCTCCTGAATGCACGAGAAGTCCAGAAATTACTTCAGGTCTTGTTGAGGGGTTCACTGCCAACTGGCAAACTGGCCATCCAGGGCCCAGGCTCGCACACCGCGGTAGAAGTCGCGCAGCGAGATGTCCTCGGCTGCGAAGGCTGCGATCTTGGCAAACCGACAGCGCTTCGGTCTGCCCTGCTCGGGCACGGACATCTCGCGGAAAAACTTCTCGGAGAGAGCTGCGAAAATTTGCCACCTTTACAACTCTGAGGTGACTTGCGAACGATTCGAGAGACGGGGCGACTTTGGCAGGATTCAACATCTACAGTTACAACAATAGCCAAACCAAGCCCAAACCGAAGCGGGTTGTGCTGTACCGCACATCGCAAAACCCAGGACAAATGCACAGATGGGCCAACAAATCAAGCAAGTAGGAATGCAAACAACCGGATGCAAGCACTCGGCGGACCACTGGTCAACCGTGGCTGGGCCTGCTAAGCTATGAACCATTGAGCCTAAACAGACAATCTCCATAATTCACATTTCGCAAGAAAAGCATCTTCGAAAGGTGCATCTGCAAGTCTCTTCACCTCCACATTCTCGGCAACATCTGGCTTGAGTAGCCAGGAAAGACGACCTGCCGAGCGTCACCATATTAAGCATGGTCCGAGGTCCGACTGGCCCAGGCTTCAGTGCATTGAAGCGCCCAAAGACGTCGAAAGTATCGGCCTGTGGCACCCGTTGCACGTCCGGCATCCTGGCCCTTTCAGGGAAGCACGAAGCCATCGGAGCGACGCGTGTCGCACATTGCGCCTCCGGCTTCTTTAGCAAGCTCCGTGCAGCAAACACCTGAGCAATGTGCAAAGGCGCAGGCAGAGTCGAGCTGTTCATGTCTGAAGATGTGCCTCTGGTGTTAGTTCCTGCTCCGGCTCCTCGGATGAGGCATCCTCACGGCGGTTCTGAATTGACATGCAACTTCCGGTTCTACTCCGACTCGCTGGGCTTGGTTTAGCTTTCCCCATGTGACTGCATTCCATGATGCCGGGGGGCACAAACACAAAACAGGTCTACGTAATCTTCTCAGCTTAAAGTCGCAAATTATAGAAGGATGGCTGCATGGGCCAAGACCTGATGGAACAATCGTTCCTCCACAGCCTTGCGAATACTAGATACGATACGAACGTCTCCCATGTCTCCCACAGAGTCTGCTCGGACAGCTGCCACCGACCCCGCTTCAATCCGATACAGTTTGCGGGTTAACGAGCTCTCCACCCTGCCTCGGATCCTTCGGCGTAGCCGAGAAGGTCTTCGAGCCACTGCAGCAATGCAGCCGAGATTTCGTCGGCAGAGACCATCAGATTCTCTTCGTCTTTGGGCAGCTGCTGCAGCTTCTCGGCCCAATACTCGACCACCGCTCCAGAACCCGAGAGAAGGCCCTGGTCGTGGAGCTGGTCGTAGAGGACGTGCAGCTCTCGGACGTGACACCTTCAGCAACAAAAATGGGAAACTGTTCTATGGAAGCCGGTGTTATCTTAAGATATCCTTGAAAATCGACTGCTTCTCCGCATGCAGACCGACAAAAAGCTTTTCTGTCGACCCCGAATGTAAGCCGGCTTGTTGTTCAGCAAACGGTCCCTTCTCTTGAAGTCACACCAAGTGTTGTCTGCCATTCGGGGTGGAGGATGCATTTTGCCCAGCACTGCCTGCCGGTCTGCAATGGCCTGCCAAAGGTCTTGATGCAGCGATTGCTCTTTACTTGAGGCTAGGCGGCTTGCTGTCCTCACCCGTCATGTTTGTCTGTGTTTTTTTGTAGACGCGGCTGTGCAGAGCGGCAACTGGGGCCTTGCATCCAGGAAGTTTGGCATGTTGGGATCCGCATTTCTACCTAGCCAAACAAAACGCACACCATCCCCTCACAGCCTTATTCGCTGCAACCCCCACCAACCGCCCACAGTTGAGGCTTTTGCAGGCAAGGACATTCTGTTAGGCATGTGCTCACGGCCCGATACACGGGCACGAATTCGCTCGAGGATGTGCGCACAAACTGACTCTGCATAGCATGAGGTTCCTTAGAACGACGAAGCACCACCGCAAGTTCATGATGCTCAACCGGTACTGCCAATCACGAACCGATGATCGCTTCGACCGTTCGAGGAGCTGAAATACTTGACTTGCTGGTTCACTTCCGGCAGCAGGCTCATCGATGCAGATGGTGTGGGAGTGTGGGAGTGCGTCTTTCACTCGGACGCATTCGGAAGATTTCCGATGGTGTCCATTGCTTCAGTTCAGGCCTGACCTAACGAACCGACACGAGCTGTGCCGAATTTCGGGACGCTTCCTGTGTGCATCGTGGAGCGAAGGTCTTGCGGACGGAGCACTCCGCCAACGGCTGCTCGTCGAGTGACCCACCGAAAGCACCCGGAAGCTCCAGCACAGCATCCCGGAAATGGCGCAGACTGGCAATGACTTGCAGAGTGCCGTCATCGAAGCCGCGATGGTTGAAGACCCTTGGCATGCGATTGCATGAAAACTTCCGGTTAGGAGCCAGGATAAGATCAAGAAGTAAAGCAGCATGCAGTTGGACATGTTTACATGGCCTGAACTCCTGATCTATACTTGGGCACCGACCCAGCGGTCTGTAAAATGGCTTCCATGCCATGCCAGAAAAGAGTGAAGTTTACGTAATTCAGAACACCTCCTGCTGCGTGTGGGCCGAAATGATAGCTCAATATCTCGTCGACGCTGTTGGTTTTCAGTGCTTCGCAGCGAGCCACGGGCAAGCCTTCCATGACTCGCCGCAAGGTGTCCCACTGAAGACCTTGCTCGGGGCAGCTGCCCTGCGAAGTGACACACATGTTCCACAACTGCACCAAGGCATCCGTTGAGTTGTTCATCACCACCGCAGCCAGCCATCACGCCATTAATGCCGGCAGCGCATCTGGAGAAAAAACTGAGAGAAATGGGCACGAACCGATCCCACAAGTAGTTGTGTCTCTAGGCAGAGGCATGTATGCCAGCAATGAATGTTGCTTCTTCTCATCGATGTTATCCAGGGTGCGAGAAACCACTCATCGGCTGAAAAACTCAATGGAGAATGGAGACTGGCATGAAGATGGAGAGTTATCCGGCTTCGAACTTGAGGCAAGCATCTCTAGGCACATTGATTTATGCAATCGCGACCTGCCACCATCTACAGCCTCTTGTTTTGTATCCAGGTCGAGGTTGTGCACGCTTGGCTACTTTTTAACAGCGTACGCAAGCACATACTCCTCCCCTGCCATTGCACATGGGCGGTGCCCAGCTCAGATCTGAATTCAACCAGCAGTCGGATAACTGGGTCCATGCTGCAGAGCTGCAAAAAAAGAAACGGAGGATGCTTCAAAAGCACAACGCGCAAAAACTAACGGTCTGGAAAGTAGAGGTCTCAGCTCCATATCATCTATAGGATATGTATAGAAGTAGTAGCCCAGCACTGCATGCTGAACCAGACAGCTGTACATTGCAGGAAGGCAAACTACCGCTCCCGCTCGTTGTAAAGCAAATCTGCAAACCTTTGCCACCTCTCAGACTTACATCTCAGGCGGCATTCTTCAACTCCTGCAGCCTACGCGAAAGTTTTGCAAAGAACATTCATGCTAACTGCCACATGCCCAACTTGATTCATAGACAGCTCGTTTGTGGGCGGAGAGTGCCTTGCTTGCAACTCTTTCTCATACTGGCTGGCTGCATCAAGCTCACGTCGCCTCAAGCTGCTGTCGGTCTGGACAGTGTGGGACATTGTGAGGCTGAGGATGCTGAGGTCAATGCAAAATCTCGAGGTTTGCTGATGCGGCTCTCTTTCGACCTCGTTCGAACTCGCGCGCTACATGTGTTGCATGGGTGGCGGACACTGCATTGAGAAAAGTGAGCATCTGGCACGTAGAGGCATCAAGGCCCTGCATTCTCTTGGGTCTTTGCCTTCAGTTTCAGTTGCTGCCGAACACAGCCGACTGGTTTCGCCACTCAATAGGCTGCAGGCTTCAATGGTCCCGCAGGAGATCGACGACTTGGGCGAAGTGGTGACATCCACCAGACACCTTTGGCGCCTGCATGACCCCTGATGACAAACCGAATGCCGCAACACTGCACCAGATCCTCGAGGCGCACCTAGTGAGTCCGAAGGTTTCACGCATCTGGGGCCTCAGATGCAGATTTCAAGCGATCAGTACTCTGACAGCTGCCATCTGCCCGAGCTGGCGGCTGGACTTCTTCATCATGCTCAAAGACGTCATGGCCTTTAGCCAGCAAGTAGTCACAATGCTTGGCTGCGACATGTACAACCCGGATTCCCCAGCAACTCTTGGGCGCAAGCGGATGTGAGATTGGCTCCAGCCGCTCCTGAATCAAAGTTGACCTATGAATCCTATCATCTGCAGGCGATGACAGCTGAGACTTGGCTTGATCCAAGATGACAACACCCTATGACGACTAGCCTCGAAGCAAGAACGCTCTTGGCTCTGCGCTTGTCTTGACTGCTGTATAGCAGGCTTTGCAAGTACGTTGCAGCTTGACCAACCAGGCGCGCGTCAGTCGGACTGATTCCAGGGCAGATTCCTGAAAACTGCAACCTCAATACCACCCACCTGCCAGTCGCAAAGCGGCCGCCAAATCAACAGCTCGCTTGCCTGAGGTGCATGCAAATCCTTGGTGAGCCTGGATCGGTACGAAGACCTCTCTGAGCTAGGTGCGCTTATGCCCCTTGGCGAGTCTCTCAATGCTAGCATTGAGCACACTGTCCTGGCAAGGGCTGTCGGAATGCATAGGCTTGCTCTAATCCGAACACTGGGCCACGATCCCTCTCTAGCACCCCATGATTCGAGCCTCCCAAGGCACCACATCTCGCTGTCTTACCTCATTTGAGTAACATGCCGGCGTCTGCAGCTGGCCATGTCGGAATGAATGCAGAACAAGGATGAAGAAGAACCACGAGGACGATGCACGTTGCACAGCGGTTTGTTGCTCGGGGAAGGTTGGCCGGACAAGCTGCACCACATAGGGCTTCTTCCTCGGCAGTTGGCATGGAAATGAGAGCATCAACACGTCGCAACGTTGAGGGGCCGACTCGTCCTTCGATGAGAAAACGAGGTGCAAGCAAACGGCCGGCCAATGAGCCAAGGCCTTATACTAAGGCCCAGGGCAGCCCAGCTTGCAGCAACGCCCTCCCGCCCTCCCTCCCGACAGGAGACGAGAGCTCTCCTCCGAGCAGCTCACATCTGCGCCCCGCGATTGTGGATCTTTGCACCATGCAAAGTCACCTTGATTCATGCTGGTAGGACCAGACACAGTACAGCAGACTTCAGCAGACAACGGCACAAGCAGCACCAGCAAGCCAAGTCCAAAGGCCAATTCTCACCAAACTCCTTTTGCTCCGAAGCTGCTCCGAACAGGGCTCACCTCACGGCAAACAGAGAATGAACTGAGATTGCGAACACCTAGGGCGCAGGATGATATATGCGAGACTTGCTGATCTTCTTGCATCTCACGCAAGTAGTCAGCAGCTGCTGCCAAAGCACAGTAGGCCGAGCCTGGCCAAGCATCAACCATGTAACTATGCACGATACTAGCGAGAGGGAGCGAGAGAGAGAGAGAGAGAGAGAGAGAGAGACAGAGAGAGAGAGAGACGAGAAAGACCGAGAGACAGACAGAGAGAGAGAGAGAGACGAGATAGATCGAGAGACAGAGAGAGAGAGAGAGAGAGAGAGAGAGAGCGAAAGAGAAAGCAAAAGAGCGAGAGAGAGAGACAGAGAGACGGAGAGACAGAGAGATAGAGAGATAGAGAGAGAGAGAGGGAGCGAGAGAGAGAGAGAGAGAGAGAGAGAGAGGGAGCGAGAGGGAGAGAGGGAGGGAGCGAGAGGGAGAGAGGGAGGGAGCGAGAGGGAGAGAGGGAGAGAGGGAGGGAGCGAGAGGGAGAGAGGGAGGGAGACGGAGAGGGAGAGGGGAGAGGGAGAGGGAGAGGGAGAGGGAGAGGGAGAGGGAGAGGGAGAGGGAGAGGGAGAGGGAGAGGGACAGGGAGCGGGAGCGGGAGCGGGAGAGGGAGAGGGAGAGGGGGAGGGAGGGAGGGAGGGAGCCAGAGACACACACACACACACTGACACTCTCACAGACACACGCACACACACACACACTCACACACGCACTGACACGCACAGACACAGACACACACGCGCGCTACAGAGACACACACACACACATACAGGTAAAACAACAACAACAAAAACAAACAAACAAACGACAGCGCGCGAATCTGTATTCACAGACCCGGTGAGCTGGCCTTTCTGGCCTTTCTCTCGGTCCGTTCTCTCGTAGGCTCGCGGACCCTGGCACGGTCTCAACTGCCATGCGCTGCAACTGGCTTGAGATAGGCTTGAGTAAGGTTTGTGAGAGCAGCATCAAGCCCAAGCCTCCGGCAGCTTCTGGCCACAGCCAAGGCACATTCCTGCAAATCACGAAGAGCAGTGTCTATCGCCGTGTACGGACACTTCCGGGGGGGGTGAAGAACGCCTGTCCGTGTTGGTCCCATATGTCCGCATCTCAGCCGCCCTGTTGTGCTCAACTGGTGCAGGCGATACATTAGATGCAAGCATCTGAAGTTGCTGATCTGAGCCAGCCCATGATTCGACGAGCTGGCGGCAAAAGGAATCACGAGAGAGGAAGGAGCCCTTCTTATCTGTGCAGGGGACTGCAGGTTGAAGAAGGCACGAACCATCTCCGCCGTTGACTCGGGACCCCCCACGTAAACACAAGAAATCTCAGCGCATCTCAGAAATCAGATTCCTGAAATAAGATTCTGGAATCCCCTTTCCGGTGCAGGTCTACCTGGGCCTGCTCTTGTGCGGCGTCGCTTTGCAGCCGGGACCGGGACCTGGCTCGGCTCGGATGCGCTCTTCGGCTCGCTTATGCTCGGCTCGGCTGCTCGAGCTCAGCCAGGTCTCAGCTTGGGCCTGGGCATCGAAGAGCTCCCTGCCGGCAAGTCTCGAAAACGCTCTTCGGGAAAACCTTCTAAGGGAACAATACGAGATTCGTTTCCTGCAATCAAGGGGCTCTTCTGCAGCCTGGTTGGCCTCGGCCAGCACATGCAAACCACTGCCGTGTGGCTTTTCAAGCTTTGCGGAATCAGCTACAGAACATACTATCCGAGCCATGACCAATGATACTTCTTGAAAATCATGCGATTGAAACCCTGCCAATTTCAAGTCATGATGCATCATGCAGGGCGTTTCTGGAAGCTTCTTTCGCCTGTCGGTACATGTTTTCCGAAGCCACGGACAAGGAGACTACGCAAGACAACATCGTGACATGAAGGCTGTTGGGCAATCACTATCTGCCTCTGCCTTTGCAGCTCGCTGTCGTTTCTTCCTTGAGGACAAGGCTGGGCCTGGGCCCAGCGAGCCATCCCCGAATCCTCCGGGCTGCGCAGATCCAGAGGTGGAAACTCCAGGAGCACCGAGCGTGCCTGGGACAGTCGCCTGCCGCTTCTGCTTCGCAAGCTCTGCATCCGTTCCAACCTTCTTCGTTTGCGATTTCTTGCCAGCCTTCTCGGGCTTGGCAGCTCTGACACCATGCACGCCAGACCTTGATGCTCTGTTGCTTGGAACCATTTGCTGCGACACCGAGACTGTCGGAACCTCCTCCGCTTTCCCTGCAGATAACGTGCCCTGCTTCGTCGGGAGCTCCTTTTTGACCGAGGCTGAAGCAACTTTCGCGGCCTCTGCTTTCCCTCCAGAGTCCGTGCCCGGCTTCGTGGGGAGCTCCTTTTTGATCGGAGCTGAAGCAACTTTCGCGGCCTCTGCTTTCCCTCCAGATTCCATGCCCTGCTTCGTCGAGAGCTCCTTTTTGATCGGGGCTGAAACAACTTTCGCGGCCTCTGCTTTCCCTCCAGAGTCCGTGCCCTGCTTCGTGGGGAGCTCCTTTTTGATCGGAGCTGAAGCAACTTTCGCGGCCGCTGCTTTCCCTCCAGATTCCATGCCCTGCTTCGTCGGGAGCTCCTTTTTGATCGGGGCTGAAGCAGCTTTCGCGGCCTCTGCTTTCCCTCCAGAGTCCGTGCCCTGCTTCTTCGCGAGCTCCTTTTTGATCGGGGCTGAAGCAACTTTCGCGGCCTCTGCTTTCCCTCCAGAGTCCGTGCCCTGCTTCGTGGGGAGCTCCTTTTTGATCGGAGCTGAAGCAACTTTCGCGGCCTCTGCTTTCCCTGCAGATTCCGTGCCCTGCTTCGTCGGGAGCTGAATTTTGATCGGAGCTGAAGCAACTTTCGCGGCAGCTGCTTTCCCTCCAGATTCCATGCC